TTCAAAGACGTTAAACAATGTAAAGCCACGGCGACAAATCCTTTTAGTGATGGACTCAGTAGGGGGACGCATCACCGGGGGGGGGGAGGTGTAGTGAGTACTATTTTTTTTGGGGGGGGGGGCTCGAAAATTTGAAAAATTGCACTCCCCCTTTGAGCGCTAGGGGAGGCCCATCTCCCAACAAATGTAAAATTAACGTGCTTTAACTGTATTTTTGTACCAGGGGAGAGGGCCCCGCTTCCCCCACCCCCCCCCCCCCCTGGATCTGCCACTGCGTGAATAACGACCAAATAATCAATGTTATTTTTCAGTATATTAGTACGACATATACACATGTATATATACCTGAAATTGATTACAAATTTTACATCTGCGCATACGTACATATTTCCCCACGACTTCACTGCCTTGATTAGGCAAGTTGTGCAAATTGTATATTGGCGAGTTCAAAGGCAGAGCAAATAAAAACAAGAATCAGACCTACACTCTTATTTCCACAGCGTCAAATTTCACTCTAAATGGCGTCAGCTGGGAGTCAACTCTATTCCTAGTTAAAGTGACACGGAAAAGGAGTCATATCTTGACTCTGAATTGAGTCAATTCTCAGCTGATGCCACACAATCCGAGTCAAATTGATTCGGAATCCGTGTCACTTAAACTAGGAATAGAGTTGACTCCCAGCTGACGCCATTTAGAGTGAAATTTGACGCCGTGGAAATAAGAGTGTAGTACAATTTAATTGTTACTTTAAAGCCATACTGTACACTGCCGAAAAATTCCCTCTAGCGCCATCTCAGGTCAGCCGAGTTACGCTCTGTTGGCAAGTTGACCATAAGATGGCACTGTCCAATAAACGCTATCAGTTCAGTATCGCTTTAATATGAACCGAACTGAACAGAATGCGAAAGAAAAAAAATGATTTTGAGACAAGACTGAATAGAATAATTATGACATTAGATTGTCAAATTTATAAATTATAGTATATTCTACGTTGATGTGGAGTCCATTTTCTATCATTCTGTTTATAGCTGTTTCACTCAGATTTATAACACATAAACTACAAGTTTTATTGGTTGGGGTTTGGTCAGTTTATCCATACCAACTCCTGTTGGCCATTTATTTATCTGTATTTATTTAACGCATATCAAAAGTAGCCCCATCATAAAGGTTGGCATGCCCTCTGTATTGTATTGTATGTAGACGTTTCTCTTTAAGTCATTCTTATATACAGTTGTACACGTATTTAAATGCCACTCGACTACAAAATGCAATATTATGATTCATTATAAAGTGTCATCTGAAGACAAAATTGTTAAGATATAAAAATATTTGGAGTTGATGTTTGTGTCCATTATTATGTATAGCATTGCAAATGTTTTACTTGATTTTTGTGAGAAAATAGAAATCTATTTTTCATCATTATAATCAGCTTCAGCTTTTTGTGAATAAATATATATATAATTATATATATCAGGAGATACAAATAGATGTTTGTATTGATCGTATAAAAATGATAGTTATGTTAACTAACTGTGAAATATGTATGTACATGTACATCGCAATCATACTGGAAAGCGAATTTAGTTAGAAAGTGCCAATTTACAAGTTAGAATGGTCCCCGAGACAATTTTAGGTCTTCTTACTGTCACTATATTGTGCATATAACTATGTTATAATAATTTACAAGTAACCCAACCCTCTCATGCTTGTGAAATACTTTGTTTTCATCCCAGAGTGATGGGAGAGTGATGGGAGAGAGAGAGGAAGAATTAAAGAATGAGGGAAATATTGGAAGAAAAAATACATCAGGAAGAGGAAGAAAAAATACATCAGGAAGAGGAAGGATGAACCTGGAGAGAATGTCCCCATCAACTTGCATTTCATTTAAAATTACATTTGTTATGGGATTCCAGCCACTGCATTTCACCCTAAAGAGGGAATATAAAAGTCTTTCAAAATTATGACCCATTTTAATGACCGTTTGATTTTTACGACAGGAGTCTTAAAAGTAATCTTAAACACATTTTATTTTTCATACAAAAAGAAAGATTAAACAATGATGTACACTGACATTCAAAGGAATAAAAAAGACACAGCCATGACATTTATTAAACAAATGTTGCAATTTAATAACAACTTACCAACATTAGATGACACAAACCGTACAAGATTTCTGATAAAACACCAGCAAAAGCCTTCCAAAAATGAATGATATTCTATGTACAGACACAAAACTTGTAGAATAACATGTGAAGATGAGACACATTTATCACGAAGTATTTCCCTTTGAATGCCTAAAACATCTGTATCATTTAAAACGTCAATGGCACTCTGGGTTTGTGCCCATGCTGGACAATTATGAAGTTATCATCCTTGAATTGGCAAAACGTTTAAAGGGTTTTCAATCACAGTTTGTTCATACCATTCTGAAAAAATATACCGGTGTTGCCAATTTTAAGAAGAAAGAGTAGCCCTTACGTTGTAAAAAGTCTTTTCTCGAATGGGTGAACAATAGTGCTGCCTCTATTAGCACCACAGCCAATTACAAATCATGGAATTTTAATGGTAAATTGAGATATGCGGGCTAAATTCAATCATTTGGCAACTAAATAGTAAATCTACTAGACAAAAAGTGGAGATTGAGGAAAATTGGATTTATGGCAGCATCATGAAATTTGTTTTTCTTTCATACTTTCGTAAAGGAGTGACACCCGTAATTACTCAGACATAGCACCATTGCTGTCTCATGGACATAGATAACGATATATGTATCAGTGTGAATTTTGACTAACAGCTCCAAAGATTTTTTAAGTAAGTTTACGATATGAGCTCCATTCATATTTTTGGAAACGCTATTCACATTTTTGAAAACTCAATTTATATTTTTGAAAAATCCATTCATATTTTTGAAAGCTTAATTCAAATTAAAAGTCCATTATATTTTGTAATAACTGTTGTCAAGAGCACTGGGAAAACACATGGGTTTACAATAAATAATGTCCCATGCATCAAACTGGAAATTACATTGAACATAAGACATGAAGAACACAAACATCTAAATATTCAATTTAACTCCTACATGAAGGTAATATTTCTTTTCTCCATTTGGGAACCTCAACCAATTCCCTGTGTATTCAATTGTAATTTTCCTTTCCTACACTTGTATCATTGTTTGATACAGAAATGTAATATATCTGGATGAAAAAGGATCTCAAAAAAACTACGCAAAATTCTTCACAAATTTGAAACACAGAATTATATTTACAGAGAAAATGGATAAATCTATACATACCAATAAACTGTAAACGAACAAAAACACTTTTACTTGTACAGACTTTTTTGAATAAAAATCGAGGAACATGACTATATGACGACAATACAAGAATACTTGTTACTTATTTCACTTGGTACATCAAAGGACAAGATTAAAACTTTCTGATTTATACTTGCTTGAAATTTGGTTTAGAAATATCTCTTCTTGTATGGGTGCATGTTGTAGCACAAGATTGATTTTAAAAACCAAATCCTACATAAAATTCCTGAATATTCATTATTTTTGCCCACAATGTTGATTTACAGTATCTTTAGTTTTAAGGAGCACTTAAATGCTTCAAACATGCTTATTCATGGAATGTCTCATCAGAATCATTTATCTCTATAAAAGTTGTTTGTTGTGTTGCTACAATAAGCAGCACATTTCCTTATTTGAATTGTACCTTTCAAAAGAATTGATTTCCTTTAAATAAAAATGACACTTGACATTATTTGTAGATAAATGTTTCTTGAGCTATCAATGCAATTTAATTTGTTACCACAATAATGTGAATACACATGAATTTAACAGGATAATGTTCAGAAGTTTCATGAAACATCTGAAACAACAAGTTTCCATATTTACAGCATTTTGTTTACTTTTTACAAGTGAATGCTACAACGGTACAACCCGATCTTAAAAATTACCCCTATGAAAAAATGGAGCAACCCAAAAGAGAGCTAAATGTCTATGTACAGGATATGTGATGTTTCGAGTCTGCAGGAATAATCCATTCAGAGGTAATCTGAATAATCTAGCGTTGATTCAAAAGAGAGAAAAGAAGAAGAAGAAGATCTTGAGTTACGTCAAGGGAGAGAGAGGGAGGAGGTGAACTACGAAATAAACCAGATTCCTTTGTTGTTGCGGACTTGTCAAACAACTTTAAAAGCACGACAATTCGATAAAGGGGGCGCCTATTTTAGTTACTTGTTCAGAACGTATTGATTACACGAAAAGAGATTTGGGGAATCAGAAAACGACCAATAAGAAAATGTTTACAGACACTTTGCTATATATGCAGCGCATATACTCGAACATTGTCAAAGATGTATACTCTTCCCAGAATGATACATCCATCTTCCGCCAGCATCTTGCCTCTTATATAGTTTCGTACATGTATTTAGCAATAAAACTATCACAGTGTATTATACTATTCATCGAGCCTACAACCAGCGAAGAATACTCTAATTTTAAAGGTACGTACACAGTTTTAACGCGAAAACAAAATCGCGAACATTTATTTTTCTTGCCGGAATACTGATTATGCTTATAAGTATCAAATGATGAATGATAATTTGGTCAAGAAAGGCTGACTATAGTTATATTCATAATAATATAATGATAACTGATAGGGCATTGACACATATAAATTGTGGCTCCCTATTAACGATCCACAAGTATTTTACTTCTTATTTTACCCCTCAGTGTATTTTAATTCAATATGTGCCTGCCTGTGCACTTTCTTTTAAAAACTGGAAAATGGCGCCACATAGGCTAATTGCTGAGATTCCTCATTCTTGGATTATATTCGTTTATTCATTTTCTCTTGAATTATTTTTCTTCTTTTCGTCTTGCCTTTCGACGCATGTGCATGTCAACTCATTTTATTTTAATAGTGAAATCGCGTACAACAATTTGATCCTTTTAATTATACCTTTTTGTATTTGCAGAATTTAAATCACGGAGAATGAATGGTACGAACATTTCTGATGAGAGTGAATGGGAATGGGCTCCATTTATGTGGACATGGTGGGTCATAGTTCAACTCGTACTTTCTATAACCGGTATGGTCGGAAACCTTCTCGTCATCGCCGTGATCGTACGCCGACGTCGCCCTGTCCAGTTCACGGCCAACGTTCTTATCGGCAGTCTTTCAGTAGCCGACTTCTTGACGTCGTTCTGGATGATACCACGCCCCAGTTTCATAACGGTGCCTCCAAACTGGAAGGGCATGCTCTACTGCCGGATCGAGTATTCAAATATTTTAATGTGGATATCCGTGGTTGCTTCAGTGTTCATACTCACCGTAATATCCGTAGAGCGGCTAGTTGCTGTCAAGTATCCGTTCCGATTCAGGTTTCTATTCACAGTCAAACGATCAGTCCGCCTAGTTGGAATGTCCTGGCTCGGATCCGCCATTTTGAATCTCTACATTCTGACTATTTCTAGCCACGACAGCATGCACTATACCTGTGTGACTAAATTCCCGACACGCGGAGTGCACGTGACTGCGGGAGTCCTGCTTTTCATGTTTGAATACCTGATTCCAGTCTCCATCATGACCGGCAGCCATTTTGCCATCATCCGGGAACTTCATGCTCTGGCGCGGAGTTTTCAGGTCAACGGACACGTGCCCCCACCCTCGCTGAAGCTCTTACAGACAAAGCAAAGAATGACACGAACTGTTCTAATTGTCGTCGTAACTTATATTGTCTGCTGGTCGCCGGATCAAATTTGTTTCTTTCTTTTCAACCTCGACCTTTATCGAACCTTCTTGTACTCGGACCTTTACCGGATATTCGTCTGCTTAGCTTTCGTATATTCTTGTTCAAATCCAATTATCTATTCGGTTAGAAACAAAAAGTTTCGTACAGCGTTGTTTGAGTTTTTGTGTGTTTCTCCATCCAAAAAAAAAAAGGCTTCTCTCGATAAGAATTTTTCATCGTTGAAGCAATTGACACTTCGCCAAAATACTTTCGGACCAAGATAGATTGAGGAATTACACGCAGGTAACATTCGCTAATAATTTACACACAGAGTCTTAAATCGATCTCTTTGCATGACGGTCTTTGTTGGCATGACGTCACGGTCGTAGAAATAAATGAAATATAATACAATCCATTTTATTCAGTTAACAACGTCATTGAAATCAGAGAGTTTTTGAGAAAAAAATCCGAAAAGAACAAGGGGTAGGATAGTAAATGATGATTGTTCGTGACGTACACACAGAGAAATAAAATGTGTTTTGGGGAGTAAAACGAAATTGGAAAAATAGGGCGCCCCCTATTACAACTTTTAGGGAGTAAAACACGGAAAAATCATTTAAGGGTGTAATTTTACACCCTATTTGTGAGTGCATATGCGCTACAGCAATGGCTCACCGTGTTGATATAGGTACTGCCAAATAAAGGGAAATTAGCATAATTGACATATTTTAGTCATGTTGGGGGAATTATCATGTTTCATTTGGGCATATTATTTGTGTGAAAGTTATCTGATCAAGAATAAGGGGTTGTACCCCTTTTGTACCGAAGGTTATATTTGATAACTGACTAGTACATATTTGCCTTCTTATACGTGTTCGAGAAGGCAGGATTGTGTATTTAGGTATTTCCACTACATTTGATCCATCCAGGCCAGCCTGCACTTGTCTTGAGTTCACACTAGCTGTTGTTTAGGTATTAAGCAATAAAGCTTTTCGACATGTAACTCGTAAAACAGGTGAGAGCAATGACAGGTAGACAAAAGGGTGATAATCAGTGACTATTAGGTGAATAGAAGCAGGGATGATTGATTGCGTGAGGGATGATCAATTGGTTGATGCTGTGCATAAGAAATCATAACCTTGGGGTGCACATGTACACCTTCTTGTAAGGTGTAAATTTACTCCCTACATTGGGGAGTAAATTTACTCCCTGAGGGGTGTCACTTATGCGACAAGCATCTTACTCCCTATAAATTTAAACCTCTTTTTCTCTGTGTGTACAATATGGCGCTTTCCGATGTAGGACAATTATCTCAACGCCCGATTTTTGTTTTAAGGTTGCTATTATTATTGAGTATTAAATTTGAAGTTTGTTTAAATTCGTTTCGCTTCATCCGTTTTGATTTGTTAAGAACATTTTTAGTAATGTGGTGAATGCATTTACTATTGACATTTTGAAGGTTAATTCCGTGGACAAAAAACCTTCATTGGGATGAATATGAGATGTCATATGTACTGTGACACCCCGTAGATGGATAGCCGCCAGTAGACCATATTCGGACACGCCAGTGCCCTGTGGAGTTGTGGGTCTAAATTTCCAAAAAAGATATTAAATTGGTCAATTAAATCACTGGCCAAAGTACTGACATTGTCAAAGACTATATGAAGAGCTTGATTCCAAAATGAGCTAAATCCATATTTTATCAAAATTGGGTTATTTGTCTTAAAATAATGATTTCCTACATGGGGACAAAATGCACTATATCACATTCGAAAATTTCACCAGGAAGTATGAAAACATTTAGGTACAATATCATGTTTCATTCCAAAAGGAGCTAAATCCAAATCGGTTTCATTCCAAAAGGAGCTAAATCCACTTTGGGTACTTCTGAGTAAATCACCTTTTTTATTTCTCCACTTTCCCTTTAGCCATGTACCGTCATGCTGTTATATATCTTAAAGGTGTCGTCCTTGACCAATAATATATGATAAGAAAAACAATCTACCAGTTACTTGTGATTTTAACAATTTTTTTTAGATTTTGTGGATTTAGCTCCTTTTGGAATGAAACGGATTTACCTCCTTTTGAAATGAAACTGTGATATGTTGTTTACTTTCTTTTCAAGAAGCGTCAAATCTCTTGAAACTTAGATTTTATTAATCGTAATAACTATTTAGATCCTCGCTCGTTAAGATTGTACACGTATGAATGTTTATATTAAATGCTGTCACAAATTCTTCCAAATTCGGATCTTAACCAGATCGTATGGTCGTTTTTACTCCTCCGTCTCCTCCTCTCCTCTCTTTCTCTATCTCTCTTCTTCTCTCTGTCTCTCTCTATCTCTCTCCCATCTCTCTCTCTCTCTCTCTTTATCTCTCTCTCTCTCTCTCTCTCTTCCTTTCTCTTTCTTCCCTCCTTCTGTCCCTTCCCTTGTATCTCGACCCTCTCTATCCTCTATCGTTTCGTTTACTCGATTATCTTGAGTGTGATTTTTGTTCGTGCTTTCAATCAGGTCACCTTAAACTGCTATCACGTAAAACCTCACTCACATCCAACCTATGATCGTATCAGAGAGCAGAATATAATACCACTCAAAGTAAGTAGAGGATATGAATTAAGGTAGAGGTCGTAGAAGAAATTAGAACCCCAAATTAGATTTTGTCCCATATCTTGAGACAAGAACAGATAATGCGGAGCGAGCAAACTAAACATGGTGTAAACTTTGGGTATTTGTACTTCAAACATAATTTTTGACATGTTTAGTGACACCTTGTCAAGCTTTTGGAAACACAGACCGTGTTTGGTGTTGGACGAAGAATAGGACGTGCTTATCATACCAATGGCTTAGTTGTCGAGTTTGGTTTGGTAAGTGGGGACGACTTGGTCAGATGTAGAATCAGCTTTATTTATTTTACCGTTTCCCTGCATGCGACGTACGTTACACCAACTTCCCCACGTATCATTTTAACATTTATATCTTAGTTGCATATGTACAATCAAGCATTAGGGTAATCTGAGTGATGAGATTGTTGCAAATATATTTTAAAAAGCTTTTCAAAAAAAGAAGAGAGAAAATAGATAACACGTTATGAAGGCTCATCGATCATTGGTTATACATGTATATGGCTTGCATTCAACCAACCCGACCAGAGAACAAGTCGTGCTAAACGTGTTTATCTCACTTTAAAAAAAAAAAAAATTGTTTTTTGTTTGTGTTCCACTTCTATTTCCATGATGTTTGATTTTGACTTTCCATCTTTTCATTCGTACGTGTCAAATAGAATGTTAACTTCTGGGAAAGATGAAAAATGATTTGTGAGCTTTTTCATTCACTTTATGTTGTGGAATAATATAATTGGAAAATTTCCCCTGAAAAGTATGGTTCTTTAAATGCCCTCGTACATTCGAAATATGACAAGGTGTTCGGACCAACTGTCATTACTATGTCTGTGTAGTCCTATATACCCTTTTCTTAAACTTTTGTCTTCTTTAAAACTGGTGTTGGTTTCGTTACCTCCAGTGCAATTGATGACTGCGGACCATATGCATGGACGAAACGATCTGATTGGTTACGGATACCGTTCACGTGGTCTTGATGAATAATTAAGCACGCAGCTGGTGGCGGCGTACGTATGTTGTCAACATTTATTTATGCATGCATGCATGCTCACAATTTCACAATTCATTGAAGTTAGCATCACATGAAAAGAATATAATATAACAAATCATTTTCAATTTTACAATCCATTTTAATTGACTTCACGTGAAAAAGAATATAACAATGTTTTATCAAAGACAAGTTGCAACTAATATACAGTATAAAGAATGAACGCACAAAGGTGATGAAACATAAGCAAATAGAGCTTGAATCGTTACAACACCTTTCAAATATAAAATAAATGACAAAAAATATTCCTATTCAAATTACTATTTACAAAGAACAAGAAAAGACAAAAATGAGACGGACACCTGCATGCAGTGCATATTCACCAACGCACTTGCAAACATGTATTTTTTTTGTTTAATTATGATAGAGCAGCTATAAGCCTTGAATAATGGCAATTAATCAATATCTTGGACAGTCATTTATTGTCATGAGTGCGTCAGGCATCCTTCATCAACACTGCGGCATAAAGCTCCGTTCACCATGTGGACATACAGGAAGATAAGTGTGCGTTTTTTAATGTTTGTTTGCCTAGTTTGCTTGCTTTTTGTTTGTTTGTTTTTGTTTGTTTGTTTTTGTTCGTTTGTTTGTCACGTCGGAATTGAGGCCATCGAAATATTTTGATATTCATCGTAGACGTAATTCTTAATACCGTACATCAGCAGATCAATTATATTACAAAATTAATTAAACACGTTCGCAAATACTCTAGACATCAACCTCAAGCAAATTTCAATACTCTCGTCCGTTACCTTTTGAATGTGCGAACATTACAAAGAAATAGTACGTAATCGGAACATGCTTCATATAGGTAATACATGCAGTACTGGGCAGGGGCGGCGATTTCTTTTCATGACCGGGGGGGGGGGGGGACGAAATGTGAGGGACGAGGGTGCAGTGGCGTAATGAGCAAAAACGTTGGGGGGGGTAGAAAAACCGCATTACCACCACTCTCACATGTTACGCAGGCCCTGGGCGGTATTCTGAACATTGTTGTAAGTATTGTGTTATCTTTTGTTGTATCTACCAGAGATAACACAGCGCTAATATTGTTGTAAGTTGGTATTCTGAACATTGTTTTATCCCTGTGTTATCTCTTGAAGGACCGCCTCTATCTTATCTTTGACCACTCTTGACACGCCCATTTTTTTGGACCCTACCAATCAAAATCTATTTTATATAAGCATGATAAGTAGGTCAACCAAAAGGAGTACTTTATGCTACATCTTCGCGGCGCATACTAATCTTTGGCGTAATTAGTTAATTGAGCGCTTATTATATATGCGCGTCCTCATATGCGCTGAGCATGTGGCACATGGATCATAAAGACAAGTCACGCTTTCAAGAAACATCACAGAGATGAGAGCATTAAAATCGTCATATTTTAGCATGTAATTTCTTAGAAATTTCTCATCTGTGATGTCTCCAGTCAACACACAACCTTCTTCTAACTCGTCTATTGGCACTAAGTTGTTCTGGGCAAGAAAGATTGCCGCTATTATATCACCACGAAAGATACAACAAACCCCTACCTGTTGTAAATATTGTTGTAAATACCATGCAAGATAAGATAAGATAAAAGATACAACAACTTTCAGAATACCAACTATCTCGACATAT